CAGTCTCTCAACGACCATTGGGTAATGTCGCGGAAGCGTCTTTTCTTCGCAGCTAGTCGAGAAGTTGTACGTGGCCGTATTGAAGGCGCCGTCACTGATGGCTGTTGGAGACTGTAAATGTCTGTAGTCTGCTTTTACTTGGCCGCCATGTGTGAATGAATATGGTTGAGCACACATTTTCCCTAGGGTTAATAAACGCTATTCTAGACTGCCCCACCTGCTGATTTGCAACAACTGTCAGCAAGGTAGTCGAGATTGCGCATAACAAAGCACCCAAAAAAGAGTGCTTCACAATGAACCACCAATGCGCAATAACATGTTTTAGTCATAATAGACTGCGCGATTCCGGAGTCAGGTTTTGCAATAGTCACACAGCTACACAGGTCCATGCGTAAAGGCACAGGCACATAAAGAGCGTGAAGTCCGATGTGGAGCAATGGGGTAATTTAGTCACGGCCTTTGATCAAATGGATCGAGGTTCATGATCAAGCGAATGATTTGCGGTGGCACGCGCTGTTCACACAATTCGGTTGCATTAGCTTGACTGCAATGTAGTCTGGACATCGTACATTCGCCTTACTCTTCATACCTCGTTAACAAGTTTCTGAATTACTGCATTAGAATGCAAAGTAGGCAATTCTGTTCGGAAAATGTACAATTTGTCTTGCAAAACTTATAACTTGGTTTGCAAAATGTCAAATGAGGTTTACAAAACGTGCAATGTGAATTGCGAATGGTATAATTAGCGAAATCCCATAATATATAACGGTCCGATTACTGGGGTACTCTGTACGTTATTCATCTCATAGTTAACGATTTTCTTCACATGTATATGGAGTTGGTCAGGACCAAATTCCGTCTGCTTCAAAGCTGCATTCGGTTAAGTATTTATTAAGACCGGACAAACGGGCAGAAAATCGTTTGATGCAGACTTAACCAAGGTGGCAAAGTGCGCGCTAATCACTTCAAGGTCTAATTACAATCTTCACACAGTAACCAAACTGATTGTACTAAATTAGTTTTGTCCAAAGAGTCAGCGTTGTCCTCCTCACACAGCTAGCAACCGATACTCTTATCAGCTCCACAAAACGAACTACTCCTAAAGAGTGATATTTATCGTAGGTGTTCTTCAGTGTTATACTTGAAGGCTTCGCGTGCATACCTGTCGACGAAATGAATAGGCGGAATTGATGGACTAGTTCAGTTTGAGTATTTGTGGAGTGAAGTAGGCTTTTAAATAGCACTAAAACGTACGTCGTCACCTGCGCACTCACTCTACTGTGGTTGCTGAACAATAACATTTGAACTGACGCCAGTCCACTGAGTGGTGTGGATGCATACATATAGCCAATGACAAGTTTTCGAAAGGATTACTTGACTCAGTTTCCTTAGCGTCAAGGTCAAGAAATTCGTTCGGCATAATCGGCTGTAGCTCAGAGACATGCTATCTAGCTAGGGTGTACTTAATTTCTGAAGCACTGCATAGCGCCGGAAGACGAATAAACTTTCAGTGATGTCAATGATTGAATAGTTCCATTAGGTACCAACAAACAAAATGCCAGTTTCCCGTTTATACGTCAGCACAAATGCGTCATCAGGCCAGGTTCACTTCCGTGCCCAGAATGGACGCGAATTGAGAACTTGATACTTCTTTAGCTAAAGCCGTTTGTTTCTGCAAAACGTAGAACTTTCAGCAATGTGATGCGCTGCCTGATCTATCTTTCATATGAGTTATGCATAGCGCTGGTCGAGTCATAGCTTCTTGTTAACGCAAGGAAGCCGCTAAACTTAAAAAGCAACTAAGACAAGTTATAATCTAAGGTGTGCATTCCGACAGTGGAGTCGCATACAGAGCGATCTAGAAAGCAATTCTGTGAACATCACATGCATGTGCAAACTATATCAAAAAGCCATTGTCTGTCGTTTTCGTAATGCTTTCTAAAACCATCATCGATCGATTTGAATGTTAAGCGGAAGTAACCCAATGCGTAGGCGTCTTCTGTTCGCTTGTTAAGATTTGATACCTGACCTATATGTGCTTGACATTTCCCTATTGTTCTTCAGCCGGTGCCTAAGGTGAGTTCACTGCGTATTCCTTTACTTGTTCCAGTTCAACCTCCTGCGACGACCAATTCATACCCACTAGTTTGTCGCGAACAGTCATCAGCAACAGTACATCAGACATTTGAACTGATGCTTCGTTACCATACAACCATGAGGAACTATGAAATAAAGAATAAGAGAGAGAGAAGGGGGACTTACCTGAAAACCTTAATGCCCTAAGCAGACATTCAGCGTCAAGGCGCCTACACATTGTGCTAACAACATACCGTCACAAACAGCTGGCTGTCGAACAAATATAAGGTGACATCGGCGAGACAGCTTCCTTGTGGCGTTCACTGCCACGCGTCATAATCAGCCATTACCCCACAGATAACTCGGCACCAAACGCACATTAAACAGGCAATCCGATTAGGAGACGGCAGCAGACGCGCCACTGGTGTTTACTGCGGGCCCTGTTCTGTAAAGTATCGAGCCAAGCACAAGGCGAGTCACATAGACTACAGCCCTGAAGGCGAGACGGAGCAACAACATCCAGTTTGGTCATCAGTAACTTCATTTCCCGCTGCCAAGTCAATTTCTGTTCACCTCGAGCCTTGCGTTACTCTACACCTGGCAGACTTAACAAGGCCATCATAGGGAAGCGGTGACCAAGCATACGTAACACGTGCCCCAGCCAACGCAAATTATTCAGTGCTATCTGTTGTTCTAGGGAGCTAGCACGATTATCACTACTAGTACTTGCCTACGCACTACACCGTTGCGGACACGCTGGTGCCATCCGACTCCAGCAATGCTTCGCAGACAACGATGATCAAAGAATTGAAGGCGCCTCAGATCTTCAGACCGAAGGGGTCAAGTCGCACTACCATAAAGCAGTACGGCACTCATTGTGGCCTTGTATACACGGCCTTTCAGACGAAGAGAAACTCCCTTCTGTCGCCAAAGATGTTGCAGGTCAAAGAAGGTAGCTTTAGCTGACGTCAGTTTCTATGCGCCCATCATTGCTGATGCAGCTGCCAAGATAAGTGGAATGATCAACCACCTCGAGTTACTCGTTAACAAGCTTCAAGGGTCATCAAATGGCTGGTGGTCCTGCAGCAACACTTTGCATTTTGAGGTTACGAAGCGCATACTAAATAATGGGACCACTCTGGACAGGCTATTCGGGGTTGATTATGCCGCCGCAACATCGTGGAAAAGCAAGACGATATCATCCGCATTATCTAGATCAACTAACCATTCATCAGGCAGCACATCAACGCTTACATCGTGAGATACCGCAAGGGAACACTCAATGATAGAATCCACGATGAAACTGAAAAAATGGGGAAATCGGACAATTTTGACGAACATCACTTGTGGTCGGAAAGTTATCCGATAGGACAACGTAGACTCTGACGCGGCCTGTAGTGTTCGAGTATAGAGCACGAAGGATGTTCACATATTTCGTGGGAACACCATACCTAGCAAGTATTTCGAACAACATCGATCGATCGACTGAATTGAACGCACTCTTGAAATCGAGGAACACAGCTGTGGTCGGCCTGCGGTATCCGTGGCGCTGTTCTAGCGCCTGCTGCAGAGTAAATATATGGTCTATACAGCCACATCCTGGGCGTAAACCGGCCTGCTCTTCCCTAATCCGAGATTCTCGTTCCGAAGTGAGGCGACGAATGATAATCGAGGCCAATAATTTTGTCGCAACTGATGTTAGGTTAATACCCCTATGGTTAGAACAGTCTGGGCGTCTGCCTTTCTTGTATATTGCCACTATAAGCGATTGCCTCCAATTAGTCCGGACACTCTCTTCCTTCCAGATACATTAAAATAAGGAGGTCGGTGCCTTGCAGAGGACCTCATCTCCATCCTTAAATACTGCAGGTTGGAGGGAATCCGAGCCTGAGGCACGAAAACGATTGAGGGCTGTGATCGCGTTTCGGGCCTCGGCCTCCGACGGAGGCTCTAAACTAACCGTCCATGGCACGTCCTGCTTCACCTGAGAAGGAAAAGGTCCGGGAGCAGGGCGCCAGCTGAAATGATTTTAAAAGCGTTCCGTTCAGCTCCTTATGGTGTATCAGTGCACCCACGCTGTCTCTGATTTTCTCACTGACGCCTGGTTTTCAATGATCATTGGTGCGGATTAACTGGAAGACCTTGCGGTACTTTCCCACTGCTCCTGCCTCCTCCATTGCTTGAGCCCGACTGGTTTACCAGGCTTCCTTGTCAGCACGTAGGCTCTGCTTTAGTTCACGCCTAATAGTCCGTCTGGTCACACTGTGTTCAGAGTCAGCCGGGAGGTGTCTTCTAGATTCCAACAGGTTCACCGACCTTTCGGATATCCAGTGACTGGGGCGGTGACAATAGATTGTGCCACAAGCAGATGCTCCTGCGTCGTGCATGGCGGCCGAGATCCTATTCCACTGAAACTCAGTGTCATTAGGACAAGACAGCGAGAGTTCGATATGCAGTGCTAATTGATAGGTTTGCCTGACCGAGGACTGAGACAATTTCTCCGTTGCCAATCCTAGGGGACGCTTGGTGCGCCTCCCGGTAAAGTTCATGTATAAACGACAGAGTACCAAAGCATGATCAGAGTCGACACAGGTACTGTAGTACGAGCGACAATCCAGGATGGAACCACGCCATCTGTAACTTACGGCTATGTGGTCAATTTGGGTCCATCGCAGACCAGCTTCATGAGGACGCCAAGTGACACTTCGGCGCCCACTGTGTCTAAAAGCAGTGTTATTAAGAAACAACTGGTGCTCAGCACACACTTGCAGCAGCCGCTCACCGAACAGGGAAAAATATGTTTCAGCCTGCAATCAGTCTGAAATAGAGATGGAAGCTGAATCACATTTAATGTGGTCTTCTGGCGCTTGTTAAGATTTGATTTCTTACCTATATGTACTTGACACTTCCCTATTGTTCTTCAGCCGGTGACTGAGGGTTATTACAAAGAGCCTAATGTGAGTTCACTGTCTATATGTTTACATGTTCTCGTTCAGTTTCCTGAGAGGACTCGCTCACATCCATTAGGTTGTCGCGAAACATGTAAACTGTTTTGGTCTGCAATCAGACCAAAACAGAGATAGAAGCTGAATTACAATTAATGTACTATAATCGGCGACACAACAAGTTCGCTCAGGACAACTTTTGGCGTAAGCAAACATTGATTTCAAACGCAAATTCGACCTGAAAATTGTGTCAGTATCTAAAGGTAATGTGAGTTCATCGAGCATACGAGCTCAAGCGGTCGATAGACCGTGAACACGGTTCCACCAAACGGAGTTGACGAATGGCACAGTTTCTGGACACTCCGGCTTCACTAACAACGTACGCTTTGCTCCATATGAAATTGGGTAAATCGTTCAAACTAAACCAAACAATAAATGATCAATTGATCAGTCGATATTCTGTGGGTCATGCCAGATAGACAGGTTCAGCATCATACTCAAGTTCAAGTTAAACCAGCCCATTTGAAGCAATTTAAGCGACCGGTGGCCAAGTTCACCATGTGAGTATCGACCTGAAGGGTAGACATGATGAGACCAAGTTGATGGAGGAGTTGATATATGCGAAATCTTTTGTTATTTAACTTATAACTGTGTTAATTATTTAGAAGGAGAATAGCATTACTGTTTGATACTTAATTAAAACTAACGCCCACAATCTTTGTGAACCACGTTTCCAATTACTTGCCTGATAGCATAAATAGATGCGTCGTAGTGACTACTGTTTGTAGTTGCATTCTCTGAACACGACTATTTGATCTTCAGCCTGAAATGGAAGATTATTACAAAGTACCTCGGGTGAGTACGGTAAACGTTTTATGTAGAATTCCAACTTCGCTGGTTACATTTCACTAACTTCTCATTTTATAGACATAATGTGGTGTTCGTAGCAAAACCAATGGATCTAAATATCATGAGACTACCGAACGAATTGTTGGGCAGTGTTCTGGTAGTAGTGGAGCTTTGCAGTGGGCAGCCAAGTTAAGATACAGTACACAGATTATCATACGCTGCAGATCCATGACCGTCTGCAGTATGTAACCAAATATTACATATCTCAGTAAGCCATGAATTTGCAACATCACCGACCAACTTTTCAAACATGTCTATTGGGTGACACAAAGAGCACAGTGCCTGCTCGGCAACAAGTATCAGTCCCCAAATCAGAGCAAACATGATGTGATAGTCTCTTTCAAAGGATGTGTACAGTAACGGCCAAACATGAGGCATTTTAAACACTTAAAAAATAATTAAACAAGCAACGTGAGGCTTATGAAGATATCCAACATGCAGATCGTTTGCTTACCTAAACAAAGGTAGCGATGACGACACAAAACAACGCAATAAGGGGCACTATTAACCGAGTTTACAAGTGGATTCGATGGCATTCCTTTACAACATAATATTGCCTTAATTAGCGTGAATATAGTTTGTAAGCGGCACAGACGCACTGCCAGGGTAAAGGGAAACCAGTCTGCGGAACCTCTGCAACTTCACCTCCATTAAAGCGGTCGGTGAACAGTGTGGAGTCGGGTTGCCATGTAGTGAATCGGGCATGGCTTTGCTTCTGCGCAAAGCGATCGACTTGCCGGCACTTGATACTGACCCTGAACGAACGGCGCACGATTTGCTTTTGGCAGATTAATTGTGCCGGCGAGTGGAAAGCCAATTATCGCCGCCGGGGTCAGCTGACCACATTCGCGTGCGCCGGATGAACAGCCCAGAATTGGTTCGGAGTATTGTGCAAAAGGCACACCTTAGTTCCAACCAAGATAGGGATGGTCTAAACCGCGACGAACGAACGACGGGTGCGAGCCAATGAACTCAGATAGGTGGTTAGAAGGAAACAGCTATTGGGAGTGCACAGTAACAAAATAATGTTTTCGTTACGTTATCGTCGTTTTCGTTGCGACATGATTCTCGCTTATCGTATACTGACAGAGCGGATAGGTCCAGACCTCTCTTGACTTTTTCATCCTATACAGTTAACTACTCTTCGCGGACATCCGATGAAAGAGCACAAACTCAGATCTGATCGGGTTCGGGATGATACTCGGTTGGCACGCCGAGTGATAGATACTTGGACCGCACTACCTGAGGTCTCAGTCTTGTCATCCACTGTGACAGACTTTAAACGTCGTCTTGACGCTCCACAACTTGCAGCTCCGAATCTTCCTCTTCTTCCCTTAAGCTAGTTTCTGTTTGCTCTCCAGCTATGTTCCTTTATATTCGCTCGTATTAGCTTCCTCTGTATTGCTCTCTTTCGTACCATTCCGCTTTCTACCTAGTCAACAATACTCTTTTCCTTTTTTATTTCACGCGGTCGTCGTAGCGAGGAATGCTAGCACATTGCAGATGGGTTTTGATTAGTTGACCATGATTTCATTTGTATGTGCTGATTTGGCTCCCACAACCGGCCGATCTTGTTACCGCATTCTAACTTGCATACAGCATAAAACAACCATGGAAATTTCCTTTCTTCTCTGTCCTCTTTGAATTTGATTTAGGTAGAGTATAAAATGACCCATTGTTCCTTAAGAACAGACTTTTGGAGCGCCACCCATTCTTCGTTTAGATTCTCGGAAAACTCTCACGCTAATTAGTTTGCAAGATTAGTTCCAAACTTAGCAGCAGATTTCGACATGACTGTGTTGATTGGGCAAAAGTTTTCCTCAACAACATCCTTAACACAATGGGAGAGCTAACGACCCACATAACTGTTACATGTCTACCGCATCCCTTTTTGCATAAAACATTTTTTCGTATATATACTTTCCTCTAGTCCATTGACAAGGGAATTTACAACACACCTATAGTAAGTCCGAAAAATGTTCAAGTAGCGATCTCTATAGTCATGTAACTTGTTTTCTGCAATGTGACATTTACCACAATAAATTCACTTCATAAGAACGGTGTGAGTTTTATGATCCAAAATACATCGAGGCACCCACTAGATATCACTGCCCGAAAACCCATGCTATCATATTTCAGATTTTCTTCAGATCACATTCATCAATAAACCCAGTGTACTTCTGCTCTTGTGGAATGATGTGCACTGCACTTATATGTTTTATGTGACTCATGAGGAAACGAAAATACACGTGTCTAAAGCGCATAAACTGGCGACCCACAGTGTTTCCACTAGAGTCACACAAACTGTGTCATGATCTGTATATATTCCTATTTTTTCATTTAAGGACACCACCGAGGCATATTACGCCACACCAAGGGTGAGTTCAAGCCTGCACTTTCTCCTCCAAAACTTCACACAATATATCTATTTCCGTGTATCCAACTCCAAAAGTATGACAAAGAAGTTTTTGATGAACCGTTAGTAAGGAATCATGTTTATGACAGCATGAAGGAACCTTGGACTGCAGGCGAACTCCCATCCTCAATGTAGCGTGAACGTACTACATCAATCAGCCCTAGCTTTAATGCCTTCAATGGTGTCTCTCTCTATGCTGCATTTTGTCAAAAGCAACCTGTGTTCTTTGCAAAATAGCGCTAGTCTTGCATAAGTATCTGGACTAAACGGCCCTACTGGCCGCATACTCAGCAACCTACCGATTGTTGCAAACAATAAACAGGATATTTTACATAGGACTGAAAAGGGCTAGATGATCGCAAGGTTAAGTATTCATTGACGGCGGACGTGTGACACGCTATCGTCTCGTACTAAGGCAAAGGGAGAGATGAGCAAACGAGCAAATACATTTTGTTTAGGTGGGAACTTTAAATTTGACCGGGCTCTATTATTCCTCTCTGGAGTTGATCGACACACACATTTTCACATCTTATATTTTGCTCCATCGGTCCATGTTTTAATTCATCACTCGTCCCGCGATGCAAATCTATTCATGCAATATTTTAAAATCGCCAGGTTTTTCTACACTCGTAATTCATGCATTTTCGAAAGGTTGTGTTATCAGCAAAAAACTGAAACGAACTCATAGGAAGTGTGGCAATTCCGTTAGAAAATATCGCTCTGGATGGACAGTCGCTATTTAAAGGAAAAATTTGAGAGATCTGAGCGTGCCAGTATTGCATAGCACCAACCACAGCTCGGTCATGGGGTAATTAAATGAACTACCAAACATCGCCCTCTCCAGAGAGATTTCGCAGCTTGAAACCATTCTGCTGCAAGAAACCTGGCTCCATGAAGAAGTGGATGATGCAGTCGTATCCGTCGGAGCATTTATATGCCATCGGGTTGACCGCCTATGCACGTACCGAAACCGAGGTGGTGGAGTACTTAATTACACCAATCCGTCTTGGTGTACTAGAACAAAACATATTTTTTGCTTCCCCTCAGATTTTCTCAACTATTTAGTCAGATATTGTAAGCCGAGGTGTTTGAATTGCTACTGCGCAATATTGCTGGCTAAAATCTACATATCTCCCACCTGTCCCAAATCTGAAGCTGAGAATTTCTATGGTGAATTTACTGCAGCTGTCATAGCCCATATCGATCGTTCTCCGTGCATCTGCAGCGGAGGTTTCAATAGATGTGACACTACGTTTCTCACCGCTCTTGGGTTGCGAAACTTCGTCAGTCTGCCCACCACTTCAAACGCATCCTTGGACATGGTGGATGTTACTAATGTGAAGTGGTTCTTTGTATGTACCCGGGCTATAATCGGCAATCCTGATCACTCAACAATCAAGATTCTATGTGTCATCTATAGGAAGAACAGCCACCAACAAATCACCCGTCGCAATGATCGAAGGCTCAAGTGGAGACTGCTCACCACAAAATCTCAACAGACTTCGCGAAATCATCGCATCGATGTATTTTAGTTTGTTCTTTGACCCTGATGTATCCGGGTATTGTGATAACTTTGACAAGCTATTTAAGACTTCTGTCTTGATATCTGTTGCCGTTTGGGAATTATTTACCTCCAGGCTGGCAGGATTTTCTCCCACACTTGAAACGGCTACGCCTAGTTAAGGAAAAAGTCTTTAAAGAAATAGACGGCACCTCAGTAATATCTCCCACAGGTAGTATCAATGAACAGCTACACCGCCTTAACAAAGTGTATGTCCAGTCTGTTCTTGGGAACGGCAGTTGTCGTGAACTCTGGAGGATGCTGAAAACGCTTAGCGGAGTTACTCGACGTTCGCCCTACTTTGATGTAGACGTAGAGAAATTGAATCAGGAGTTCTGCAAGTGTAATACTACTACAGCTCCAGAGTCTTCCTGTGCCCAAGTTCTGGGGTCTGCTGAACCACTGCCTCCCGTTGACAGTGCAACTGTAAATAATCTACTAAAACAATGAAGAATCGTGACCGCATAGACAGAAGGTACAACCACAGCAGTCCCATTGTTTGAGAGAACATTTCATCTCATCAGTGGATATCATCTGATATGACCTGAACTACTCCTAGTAGATGAATAAGATACAATATGGTGGATAGGACCAGATTGTATTGGTACAACGAGGTCAAGCGTCAAAAGTCAAGCATGTGTCTCATAATAACTGAGTGATACGATTCATCATTGGCTGACTCACTGCAGATTGACTGCGCGCTGGCACAGCCTGATTGGTTCGGGGATGGCTGACATCGGGTCATGTGCGGCATTTGGTTTAGGCTTCCGTATATGACGCCTTCCTCTTCTGTTGACATTTCTACCCGAAGCCTCCAGCTGCTGAGTCCTTATAAATCAATCCACTGGTCGTAGATTCCGTATTGGGCGTCTGCGTACTGTATCAGCTTCGGGTACCGACTCCTGTCTTGCACATTCCACTCGATCTACATTTGCGTCTGGTCTGTTCGGAAACTAGAACTATTCCAGTAATATCTGAACATTACGCTTGGGATTGCGGTGAGGTAAACAATGATTAATACTGGAGCGGAATCTGAGCTGGTTCACGTGGCAGTGTCACTTTTCGCCATGAACCTCAATTAGGTAGGTTACTCGACCAATTGGTTTGGTAAATTCACCAGGAGCCCATCTGTCCTTGGATTGACAGAAATCTCTTTACCATACCAGGTCACCGATCTTTAGATTCTGCACTGTCCCACGCTGCAGGTGTTGTGATACTCCTGTACTTATCAAGTCGGCTAATTGTTTTTTTGCTTCGGAATAATTGTATCCCAGGCAGGTCTAAGTTGTCTGCCTAATAATATTTCTGACGGTGGCCTCCCATTACACGCGGATTGTGGAGTCACTCGATACACCATGAGGAAGGTCTGTATGTCCTCGTCCGTAGGACCGTCTCTCTGCGCTTTGACCAGTGCCCGCTTGAATGTTCCAACAAAGCGCTCAATCTGACCATTAGATTGAGGGTGGAAGAGTGGTGTACGCACATGAGGCACACCACTGGATTGACAAAATATCGCGAATTCATCCGAATTGAACTGTAGTTCCTTGTCGGACACAGGTGTTTTTGGCATACCAAAACGACTAAAAACCTGGCGCAGCTGTCTGATGATGTTTGATGCAGTGGGTGAGGTCAACACTGGCAGTATCTCCGGCCACTTGTTTTGAAGTGACAGGATTCGCCCATAAACGCGGACGAGCGACTAAACTATCAATCAAAGACAAGGCTCATGTCCACACATAGGCCTCTCAGTGTTTCCGCTGACTTGATCAATCCTCCCATTCCGCGGTCTTCATTCCGCATCCTACCACATAGATCATTGATAACCGCCGCATTCCGCCTTCTGCTCGCGGAGGCCCAAGGGTTAGCGCGCGGGTGCAAACCTGCCAATAATGAATCAAATTCCCCGCTTCTTTGCATGTTGTTTTTCTACCGGACGATGTCTCGCGGGAACAATACGACGTGGAGCTCAATGCAGTTTGTACTAGCCTATTCCCTCGCAGATGGGCCCAGACCAAACGCACAACGTTACCGTCAGTCATTAAGAAAAATCAGCAACGCTGGCAACTAAAAATTGACCACATCCAACCTCTCTATCATAAGGCTGCAGCAGTAACTGTTATAAATGGCAGGTGGCGAACGGCTTTCCTAAAAGACAACCGTAGCCCTGCTTTTACCGACTTTTGGACAAAAGTTATTTCTCAGCCTCCGGTAGATGACGAGCATTTACCTTGCAATATCATCTACACGAACCCCGATTTTATACAGGATTTTCTCTTCACAAACTTCCAAATACCAAGAAAAAACAACATTTCAGAAGGCTAATCTGAATTCAGATATTTTGTGTCATCTCATCAGGTGTGTACAGACAATCAGTGAAATCGGTATGCCGCACACACAACCGTAAGGAAATGTGCGAGATGGTCTTGTTTAAATAAAAATAATCTATATGGTCACCAGGGCAGGGCGAGGGTAGTTACAAACTACGGTAGCTTACGTAAGTTGGGTTTCAGCCGACGAATGGCTGAGGCCTCTGCAAATTGCAGCAGATGAGCAGTGTTCTGACGATTAAGGCTAGCGAACGATTCCCGTGGGTGTTGTCATGTGGGGCAATCGATGATATGTTGGCCGCTAAAGCTTACGGGCAGCTTAGGGCTATTTGCAACCAGATTACGGGGGAGATTTTCTGCAACGCTCCTGGACAGCCTCCTTTCCCTTCGGCCCACATAATTGCTGTCGCAAATACAATGAAAGAAGTAGATACAGGAGGCGGTAACCCTAGACGCATCACCCGATATGAGAGGCGTGCAGCGATCCGTCAGATGCGAAGCTCCGCACTGGGGTATGACCGTGTCAAACAACGAGATGTATTGGGGATGGACTCAAATGTGGTAACTTTACTTCTCAACTCCCTCCGCGCTTCCTTCTTCTCTTCACGCATGAATACAGCACGGATCACCTTAGTTCCCAAGGCAGATGCGCCATCTTCGCCCACTCCAATCGCTTCCGTCTTCACTGCTCTGCTTCATCGAATCCTGTTGGACCGCTGGGTCCCCACTTTCTGCTCCAGCCATCTACCGTTTGGCTTTCTACGTAATCAACGTGTTTCGATGCTCTTGTGATGCTCCAGGCAGCCCTACAACACGTTCATCCTTCGTGCACCCTACTTTCTTTTGCTTCAATTGATATTTCTAAAGCCTTTAATTCTAAGTCTCAGCGGTCCCTAATTCGCGCGGCCTCTACTTTTGGCGCAACCCCGCTACTACTGCATTACTTTGCTTCGTGCTACCCATCGGCTACTTTAACTCGTAACCATGTTCACCTCCATCCGGAAGAAGGACTTAGATAGGGAGACCCTCTCTCCGCTACTAGTTATCATGACGTTGGACGAAGCTCTGCAAGAA